ACTGTATGTTAACTATACTGGAACTAAAAATTTTTAAATATATTTTTCAGGCTTCATAATTTTCAAAATGTTACCAAAAGAATCCTTTCATTTGATCTCCACAGCAGCCTTGGGAAGCAAGTGGAACAGACATTATTTATGCCTTCAGATGAGAACACAGGATTGGAGATGCTGGGAAACTCACCCAAGAGAACATGACCTGCCAAAGTCTGATGACTCAGTCCAGTGTGATCTTTGCACAGTCTAAGTTCTCCAGGTCATGAGAACCTTAGCTTTCAAAGGAAATATGATTGAAGTCTCTTTTAAAAGGCTGATAGTTTTCAAGATCCAGGCTGGATTTTATTTATATGGAATAACCTCACATTATTCTCAAACCTGTGCTTTGTGTTCATTTCAGCAGCTTGTTTGTTCCTTCTTGTTTTATTCACTCAACTTGTATACAGTCATAGGCTAGGTAGGATGATGAAGATCTTTTATGCCATGCCTAAGAGTCTGACTTTAGTTTTGTAGCTTCAGGGATTGGAAAGGAGGAGACAGAAAGAAAAAAAAAAAAAGTGGCACCTGCAACACTTGGTTAAATATTAGATACGTGGGGTCGGGATAGCTTCTGAGGGAAAATGAAGATAATTGAATCACTAGTCTTACTAATCTTTGAAATAAGGAACAGAGAAAAAGAGGACAGATTCAAGAGACTAAATGAGGAGTTCAATTTTAGGTACTTTGGAACCATGGAACATTCAGAATGTGTGTCCAGTAGAAACATATTTCATTAGGTTAGACTGTGGTAAGAAACAAATCCCAAATTTGTTTTTTTTTTTAATAACAAAAGTTTGTTTCTTGCTTAGAATATGTATGACTGCAGCTCTGTTCTATTTGTTGTCTTCATTCTCTGATCATAGCCAAGATAGCAGCATTCGTCAGAGGCATGCCCAGAGCCAACCTTGCAGTGACTCTTCAAGTTTTTGCTCAGATGCATCCGATGTCACATCAGTTTACATCCTATAAGCTGAAGCAAGTCACATGGCCAAAGTCAGCATCAGTGGGGTAAGAAACTGTACTCCCATAGAGGGAGCATTGCAATTCCTACGGTAAACAAGCCAGGAAATATGAACCTCTTTCAGGAAAATGAAGTAAATAATTTGAGACAATAATACAATCTACCACAAGTTTGGAAGTAAGTGTCATGGTCTCTAAAAGAGATAAATTTGAGACTCATTAGTGTACAGGTTGCAGTTGAAGCCATGGGAATAAAGTCACAGAGTATTTTAGACTTGTGAGGAGAGAAATGTCAAGAACAAAACTATTTTCTACATACACCTCCATATATACCATTGCACCATTGCTCATAATGTTGCCTTATGCAGAATGCCCCATTTGTCACTCTCATATCCAAATTCTGTTTATAATAGTGTGGTAGACATTAGTATGATTTTTTTTTTTTTTTACCTCTTCTTAACAATACTCTGACTTGTTTATTGGAGTATCAGCTCTCCCTACTGCACAGTTTTGTTAGGTGGTAAGACCAGCTGTTTGCTTTTCCACTGTAGAAGCTGAGGGGGCCCCAAAGGCTTCTTTGACTATATCTTTCCTTTTACTGTCCTATATTGTCAAGGGGTAAGTAAGTTGCATAAACTCAGCCAGCTGGGTACTTCTGAGTGAGAATTTGACTCCTGAGTAAATGCCACAAGGACAAGTGAGAGAGTTGTTCATTCAGTCCAGCAATGGAATCTGTTCTTATAGCACCAACTTCTATCCCTCTGCAACAGCTTGGATCCCTACCCATTTTAAAGTCAGTCCTTCTGCTTTCCCAGCAAATCTGTGAGCTCTTCTTCTGAACAACAATACCCTTATGATAAAACCTATTTTCCTTAAATCATTTAAAGTTGGTATACTAGCCAGTTCGGGTTTCCATAACAAAATACCACAGATGGAGTGGCTCAACGACAGAAATTTATTTTCTCACAGTTCTGGAGGCTGAAAGTCCAAGATTGGGGTGCCAGCATGGTCAGGTTCTGGCTAGCGTTCTCTTCCTGTCTTGCAGATGGCCACTGTCTTACTGTGTCCTCACATGGGAGGTGGGGAGCGGGGGCAGATCTGTCTTCTTATAAGGCTGGAGTCCTATCAGACCCCACCCTTATGACTTCATTTAACCCTAATTACTTCCAAAAGACCCCATCTCCTGACACAGACACATTAGGGGTTAGACCTGCAAGTGAAGGGTAAAGCTTCTAAAAGCCAAGGTACTAGAATAACTGAGAGGGATACTATATCATTAGTATTTAAAATAACATATGAATCTAATTGGCCAAACAGGAGGGACTGGTCCCTGGGAGACTGGGCTATTAAGGACAAGCTTCTTTTGACCTTAGGACGGTATAGCATCTGCCATCACTTTTTAGATCCCAGGTATAGAAATTGTTTTACTACTCATCAATGGCTGCATATTTGCCAAGTATTGTAGACAATTAAGAGAGGAAGTTAAATGGGTTCACTTTAGCCTTTTAGGCACTTTGAGATATTAAAGTAGGGGCTGGGGGGCACCTGGGTAGCTCAGTGGTTAAGCGTCTGCTTTCGGCTCAGGTCATGATCTCAGGGTCCTGGGATTGAGCCCCGCATCAGGCTCCCTGCTCCACGGGAAGCCTGCCTCTCCCTCTCCCACTCCCCCTGCTTGTGTTCCCTCTCTCACTTTGTCTCTCTCTGTCAAATAAATAAATAACATCTTTAAAAAAAATAAATAAAGCAGAGCAGACACTACTATCCTGGAGGCACACTGCCTATTTCTCTGTTTCATATTCTTTTTAGACCTTATCTCTTTGAAGTTTAACTTATTCTGCATTTCCTGTGAAAATTCTTTTATGCATTAATACAAACTTTTTGACATCTCAAAATTAGGTGCTACATGTTGGGTGAATCTGTTTCATTTCCCAGCAAATAGGTTTTCCCCATTCCCCATTCCCACTCTAATCCCTCACCCAATCTCCAAAGGAAAAAACATTAAAATTAATAATTTTACATTATATTTTATATTACATTATATTTTCCTCAAAATACAAACACTTTCATTGAAATTCTCTCAATATTCCTGCAAGGATGGAAAATGCAGTGTTATTGCTACTTGAAAGCAGCAAAAAAAAAAAAAAAAAGGCTTAGAGTTTATCATGTAGATTTTTGGTGATGTTTCTCCTAATGCTGTCCATGGACCACTAGCATCAGAATAACTGGGAGGCTTGCTCAAAATCCATACTCTGAGTGCTACCCCAACTCTATAAGAACAGAATCTTTCAGAGCAGAATAAGGCATTAATCCTCAGGTGATTTTTGTGTACATTAAAGTTAAGGTATTATATCCTACTTTTGGACAAGGGTTTGAAGAATGAAAACTTCAAGAGGACAAGCAATTTGGCTTATTCTCCCAGATGTCCCCATCATCTAGAATATTGGCTGACATTCATTTATCACACATTCAGTAATTACTGGTTGAGTAAATGAACAGAAAAGAACATGAAGTCATAGGCTTAAAATAGGACTAAAAGGAAATAGGAGGAACCATTTAAACATGCTAGAATCCTGGCTCCACTGTTTATTGGTGCTTGATCTTGGACAAATACTTAGCCTCCCTGTTCCTCAAAGTTCTCAAGGAGACTATAGTAATAGTACTACTTGCTTAGTTTGTTGTGAAGAGTAAAAGAATTTAAATATATAGAGTGCTTAGAACAATTCTGGTCTAAAACACTTAAAAACTTTGTCATTTAACAGTAACCAGCCCAAAGCCAGCCGGATCTGACCTAGATTTTCTCACTCCTTCAACACTTCTGTATGTGTGTGTGTGTGTGTGTGTGTGTGTGTGTATGTATATACACATGACTTGGCAAACATCAGAAGGTCCTCTCTTTCCAAAATATCTCTTTCACCACACTACTTGGCTCTTTCATATAGGGGTAGAAATTTCCAACATTGCAGTCATTTTTCTAAAGTAGATAGGAAAACAGTGAGCGTTTGCTAGTAAAACAAACACCTGTTGTTACTAAGGATGGACTGGCAATCCCAAACGAAGCTCCCCTTTTTTCCATTAGCTATAGTTTCCCCCGTTAACCCCAGCCAAAGATTAATGTGTCAGTGTGCTCGCCAATGAGCAGATTCCAAAAGTCTACCCAGAAATACACCCTTTTTATTTTCTTCCAGAATTTGAGAGACATACTACTTTTAACCGCTGGGGTTAAAGAGAAAGGGAGTGGAGGAGTGAAGGGGTAAGTTTAAAAAACGACGTGAACACGGAATTTTAAATCCTGAAGACATTCATTTAGCGATTTGTTTTTGTTTTGTTTCTGTTCGAACCAAAGCACTAAACCCCTTCCTGGAGTAAGCATTGATAATAACCGATATGAAGACAGGAGCGACCATTGTCCCAACAGATCCTGCATCCCAGAGGAAGAACAAACCAAAAGCCGTTTTCTCAAAGTCGGCTCCCTAGATCTACATTCGATAATCTTGGCAGCAAGGTAGGGATGAATTTGGATTGGACACGAAACCTTTTTCACAAGAATTTGATTAAGTCGGATAATTAAAACAAAACCAGAAAACTTCCTTGTTTCTTCACCTGGGAGGCGCGTCCTGGGAAAGAAGAGGGCACTTTGTCGCGGGCATTTCAGGTGGGGGCTCTGTTCGAAGTGTCTTTTGCGCCTCTGTCCGGGAGAAAAACAGAAGGTGAAAATAGAGTAGAGCTGAGACGCAGGAGGGCATAGAATGAGAAATACGACAAAAGCAGCAGAGCTGGGGCGAGGGTAAGAATGAGAAAGAGGGACGACTGCCGGGATGTCAGTCTCTTTGTCTTTAAAAGGCTAGCAAGGCCGAGGCGGACGGGACTGGGAGGCTCCGAGCGACAGGAGGCGGGGTCAGCACCGAGCGGGTCTCGGGCCGGGCGTGCCTAAGAAAATCCGGCCCGTCCCGCGCTTTCCGAGCTCAGCGGGAGTTTGCTGCGTGAACCGCTTAAAGAACCAACGAATGAATGAGCCTCCTACTGGGCTGGGGGCCTCGGGGCCCGGCGGGGCTGCGAATCTCGCGGACGCTCCGGGCATCGTGGGGCGCGCCGAGTCCTTTCCGCGCAAGCTGGGGCGCGGGGCTCCCCTGGCTCCTGGTGCCCGGAATCCCGCGGTGGCGGGGCCGGCAGCGGGGCAGAGGGCGAGCGGAAGCCGAGGCGGCGCTCCGGAGAACCGCCCGGCAGCTGAGAACCTGGACTGTGAGCCGTGGGTCAGAGAGAAAGTGCTCTTTCTTCTGCACCCAGAGAGATGGTTGGGGACTCCAGGGGACCCTGCACGGGAAGAAGTGGCCGGTGGGGAGGACCTTTTCCAGGCGGCCGGAGAGGACCGGAAACCCGACTGCCCGTCTCTCTTTCCACGAGAAAAGCGAATTTCTGGCAGCCGTGTAGACGCTCCTTTCAGAGCCCTGCCGCGGGACCCCGCATCCCCACCCAAGTCCGTGCTCGTGCGGATTGTGGACTATCATATGACAGAAGAAGTCCTGTGGACCTCATGGACGAAGGGCCAAATGACCGCACGGACCGAGGAGCACTCCATGAGCGCCATCACTTTTCGCACCAACAGGGAGTGAAGCACCAGGCTGTGGGGCGCCAGGACTCCGGAGAACCCCCGGCTCTCCCTGCATAGGGAGAGGCGCCCCGCGTCCACGCCGCGGGGAGATCACCTCACGGTCCCCAACGACTGGATTGCCCGAGGATATGAAACAGGAAAGAGAAGCCTGAGGAATGTTGCGGGCTGGTGGATGAGCAATAAGCCTTAAGAAAATGCTCTTCCGGGAACGCCAAGCTGTAATTAACCAACAGCAAGGACCTTTTATGAGGCTGGGGCTGCGCTGCAAGGAGGCAGATGACACCCCAGACAGAATGAAGAACTGTGAGCAACATAATACCTCCTTTGTGTCTTAAATACTGTGACGGTCTCGGGACCTAAGTCATTGGTAAAGGGGAAGGAAAGGTATTTTCAAATTGGTAAATTGTGGACCATTTGAAATAAGAAAATCTGTTGTTAATTCTCACTTTGCAATACATCTCAACTGATCTCTTTCCCTGCCTCCCCACTCTCTAAGACCTAAAATCAGAAGTGAAGTTTTGATTCAAAGGGAGTGGGAGTAGATGGGGAGAGAGGCTTGTTTTAAAGCTGAAAAAGATAATAAAAAGGAATAAAATAAAGCAGCAAGTAAACAAAATCTTTCCTTTTTACTTTCTTCTAATGTGCACATTTTTCTTTTTATCATTAAGTGTTAGAAAAAAATAATAACTAGGAAAAGAAGAGGGGGAGAACGGAAGACCCAGCTCTGAAGTTTAAATGCCATTTAAAGGGGCTTTACTACCCCCAAAGTATCTAGTAGAAATGCTTTTTGTCTGGTTTTTATTTATTTTAATATTTTAAATATGGCAGATAAGTCTGATCTAAAGGTAGATAATGTACAGTTTGCCATAAAATAATTGTATATCTTACTTCTGTCCATAGTCTCTTATTAATAACATTTGTATTCAGAACCGGATTGAAAATACATCTCTCTTGATGCTGTTGGGAAAAAAAAAAAAAGTCTCTTCTGGTGCTATTGAAATAAGGCTTTTTATTTGTTCCTCTTTTTTATTAAACACCATTTTTATTAACTCTGTAGTAGTGTGGTCTGGTTTGGGGATCTGTGGAGTATTTGGTTAATGCAAGAGCTAACAAAGTTAAGTGGGCTGCTGGCTTTTGAAAAGTAAACTGTTGAAAGTGACCCCTAACCTCACTCCTCGCTCTGTGCTCTTTATTTTCAGTTTAGAGTTTGAAATGCCCTCAAATATAATCTGATCCACCTCTGGCCTCCTGGCAGACAGGATCCGTAAGATACATCCCTGTTTTACGGATGAGCCAACCTAGATGTAGAGGTCATGTGGCTTGGGTAAGTCACACAGCTGGTAATTGCATAGGTTTACTAAGTGGATAAGAATACGATCTTCTCCCTTCTAAAGGTTTGAGAATGGCCTTCAGTGGTACTTGAAAGGAGTCAAAAGATGACAGGGCATCCTGAGTTTTCTGACTCATGTTTATGGGACGTGCTAGAAATACCTTAATGCCCATGAGTCCTGCAAGGCCTTTTGGCTGGAGGATCACCACTGGCAGTTCTTAGGACTATGAGACCCATACTTGAGGGAGGAATGCAGCACCTGACCTCATCTGTGTTCAAAGCTACTTGGTAGTAGAAAAAGTAATATAGGCCCCATAAAGTGAATTATTTTTTCCTCCAACAACTTTGGCCTCTGTGTGAGGTTAAACTTCTTGGCAGACAGTTTTCAGGCCTGACTTGATGAATTTGGTTGTGAGTCATTATTTGCCCCCAAAACATCATTTGGTTGCCTTCTCTGTGGAGGCCAACTCTGAAGTTCAGCTTCTTGGATTCAAAACTGTCCCACTTCTTACTAACTGTGACTTTGGGCAAGTGCTTAATCTCTCTGTGCCTCTGTGTCCTTATTTAAGTAGAGATAATATATACTATTAACCTCATAAGGTTTTTTTTTCTAGGACTAAGTTAAATGAAAAAAACTCAGAATAATGCTTCACATATAATGAATGCTCAGAGTTAGCTGTTACTATTAGTGTTGTTGTAATTGTTTAGTTCACTTTCATCCCAAGTAGGCATTAGGTTTTTTTTTAATAAAAAACAGCTGAAGACATATAACAAGGAATCCTGTACAATCCAAACTGGTGATTTTTATTGATTCTTTTCTGCATTCCTGAAAGAAAAAAACTTCTCCCTAGCTTTTCCCAGCATTTAGTGGATCAGTAAATACATCCTTAAATTTCTTAGAAATGTCCTCCACATCCTGTGATACTTATCTTATGATTCAACGGCCTAAGGTACACATTGCTTGACAGGGTCTTTGAGGAGATTTCAAGTCTACTTAGTTCCTCTTGGGCAGTAGGAGTTTTAAATGCTTTCTCTAGGTGTCAGGTTTGTTTTCCCTCTGGGATTTTAAAACTGATGCCCTGTTGTCTCAGAAAAACAGAATAGACGCAGTTTTCATTTTATCTCCTTTCTGTCAAAACTGTATTTCTTCAAGTCAGCTTAACTCTTTTAGTCCAAATACGTTTAGGTTAATTTTATCTCAAATAAAAATTATTTTTATTTTTATTTATTAAAGGTTTTATTTATTTATTTGTCAGAGAGAGAGCACAAGCAAGGGGAGTGGCAGAGGGAGAAGCAGGCTCTCCGCTGAGCAAGGAGCCAGATGCAGGACTTGATACCAGGACCCTGAGATCATGACCTGAGCCAAAGGCAGACACTTAACTGACTAAGCCACCCAGGTACCCCTAAAAGTTATTTTTAAAGCACTCACCAACCTCCTAGTTAACTGCTTACAACGTACTTAACAGATTTCCTTTAAACAGATATCTCCCTGATACAAAGTAGTAAGTTGAAATCCTGTTGAATTTGCTTCACAGGTTTTCCTGATCCAAGCAGAACCCGGTTGTGTGAGGAGCCTGAGGAGTCTTTTCGCATGCACAGTGTCCTGGGAGTGAATCCAAAGTGAAATCCGAGTGTCCCCAATACGAAGAAATCTCCGAGAATGTCTGAGTCTTTGCTCTTAGGTCTTACCTCCACTTTGCGGAAAAATGTGACCATCTGAAATTGCCTTAGATGGATGAATCATAGCAAGGAATTTCAGAAGCCACCTGGCCACTCAAGTAACCATAAGGCAAATTTCACACAACCACTATTAGGCAAGTGTTGACTTCTCTGAAAACCTTTGTCCACAACCTCCACCTTTGTCCACAACCTTCACCACCTTTGAGATTCATTACATTTGACTTGCTGTTCTTATTCTTGTTGGTTATCACCACTATTTAATGTGCCTTTTTGCTTATAAAAAAGGAGAAAGACAAATCTTCCTGTTAGAAAAAGTTGTATTCACTGCAGAAAAGTTTGAGGAAATATTTTGTGAGGAAAAAACAAAATTGGGAGTAAAAGAAAAATTCACCCATGACCCAAATCTCTTAATATTTGGTACATTTCCAGTCTTGTTTTATGTATTTTATCCTATTTTTATGTGTATTTTATTCTATTTTTTATGTGTATGTGTATACATACCTATATACATACATTTTCTTGGCATAAGCTCTATATAAATTCTGAGTATTATAAACTAAGGTATACTGATACTATTCAAGGGGAACCAGGAGCATGGGCAACTCTAAGAATATTGTTTTAGAAATGCAGAAACTCAGACCCCAGTACAGATCTACTGAATCAGAATTTGCATTCTGACAAGATCCCTGGGTGGTTCACATTAAAGTTTGAGAAGCATTGATATATACATGCCATATTTAGTTCTATAGCCTACTTTGTCACTTACAAAAACTAGAAAGTTTTCATTTTCTCTCTGTTCCCCCATTCATTAACAATTGTTAACAATGCCATGGAAATAGTACTTTGTAGAATTGGGAAAGCATTTAGACATTACAAAAGAGTGAAATAGATACTGGTTTGTGAATTGGCAAGGAGATCTCTAAAAATCTTCAAAATTTTTTTTTAAAGAGTCTTACTATTCTAAAGTTTCATAATGAAACATTGATTATTGGAGTTCAAATTGTTTCTGAAATGTGGTTCTTTTATTATCTCAGAATGTGAGACAATACTTATTTAAAAACCCCCTGAGGGAAGAAGGGCAGGAAGTCGTTAAAGAAAGCACAGTTGCAACATTTCTGTGGCTGAGTCAGGACTCGTCAGCCTTGAACACTCTCTGCTAATGAATAGTGAGGGGGTGGGGAGAAAGGTGGAGCTTGAATGTGAATAAACTGATTCAGAGGAGAAAACAAAGGCTGTGAGTCTTGGACACCCTGATACGTTTATAACTTTAGTCAGTACTTTGCTCTTTAATTAGGGAGGGCAAATCTTTATAACCTCGCTAGATGAAGATAAGAGAAGACAACAAGTACAGTTTACTTTGGAAAGAGTAGGAAATCACAATCAGTTCTTAGGCACTTGAGCTGCCAATATTTAGCAACAAAATGGTAGACTTGGTCAGCTTCAAGGCATGGAATCAACTTTAAAATCAAATTCAGATTCTAAGTGTAAGACAGAATGGATACTTTTGGGGAGCCTGCAGCCTTCACAAAATTGGGTTCTTGTTTGGTATAGGAAGGGAGGCAGGCAACATCACTTGGCACTTGGCAGGGAAACAAAGGTAGGCAGTGCAGAGGGAAAGTGACCAAGATGACCTTAACATTATCCACAGCACTTGGCACTTGGCAGGGAAGCAAAGGTAGCCAATGCAGAGGGAAAGTGACCAAGATGACCTAACATCCTCAGCTTGAGCAAACTACAGGTTTCTTTCTGACTGCTTCCCACCCTCCCTTTTCTTGGAGCATTTTCTTTAGAAACTTGCAATTGGAAATTCATTCTTTGCCTTTTTGACATGTAAATCTTTCAGCTTCTTGTCTGTTTTGCATCGGAGGAATGTCCTTCTCAAGGATCTGGGAGCCATCTCTTGGAAATGTAATCAAGAAAGACAGGGTCCCTAACTTCCAGTCTCTGGGAGAGGGTAAGAGCCTACCTTAATAAGTATCAATTAGCAAACA